TTTAGAGATTATGTGATTTATATCGTATTTAGAGATTTAGACCTATTTGATTTAATAACTATATACTAATGAATATCGCAATTCATTTTTTGTGCATTCGAAATAAAGTCTTAATAATATATAATAGTAGAATTACATGAAAAATATCCCAACATATGAGCTCACCTGAAAAAAATTTGTCGTTACATATAGTAGAAAAATCTACTTGCACCAATTGTTATAGTAAGAGTGGATGCAACTCAGAGAAAAATAAAAAATGAGATTAAATTATATTTTATGCGGTCCAATCAAATCACCTAATTGATTATTTTTGCAGACTGAACAAACCACCCAAGCCAAAGTACTGAGCTATCAGAAATAATAATTATGCTTTTTCGAATACATAACATACTAAGTCAGAGGCCCTATCGTCAAGAGGTGAAGACTCAAGCAAAATTTTTTGCATAACTATATATACCCGTAACAAGTAACCTGGATAGCTGATCTATCGACACAATAATTTTACACAAGAAAATAATAACGAATTATTTACCTGATCCGCCTTTTGCTTATTATTAATGGTATTAAACCCTCCATCGTAAAATTTTTAGGTTAGTGTTGTAGATCTTCATGTACATGAAGGGTTTCGAGATAGATATATTTAAACTATTTCTTATCTTGTAGTTTAGTGGACGAAACCGCGGGAAGCTCATCGGGTCTTCCTTTCCTTGCTACGTAGACAATTATAATCTGACAATCATGCCCTCAAAATTGGGAAATGAAATGAAATATATAACATGCTTTCAAGGGAGGGAGTACGCGGATCCTAAGCTATTTAATGCGAGTTCCTGCATCATATTATTTTCTAGAACATAATTCACATAGTCAGAGGCCCTATCGTCTCAATAGAAATGAAATTTTTTGCTTAACTGAAGAAGACTATATTATTAGAAGACGGCTAGATTGCGTATTTTTTGTGGAACAAATGAACTACCATCGCCAAAACACTGAGCCATCTGTTCTGTTAAAGCAAGAAGATTGTGCACATGTTCGATCACACAACTCGCCAAAGCAAACTCGTGTCAAGTAGCTATAGAAGTCGTCTTATCAACACAAAAACAATCCAACGAGAAAAAAAGACGATGCTTAGACATGTAAGAGCAATAAAATTTATAGCTAAAAAATATGGGGAAAAAGATTTATATAAGTGGGAGCCAGGGCTTAAAATCCTATAGTAACTTGCCGACCCACTATTGTTTGTTTTTGAGCTGTGTATTATTGACTAGAAAAGGATAATAAGGATATCAATTATGCAATAATTCGGCGTATCTTCAAGGGGCGGGTTTACCTAACAATAAACCATAAATATTTGTACAACATACAACCAAATCGTGTCTCGACAGTAATTTTTCTGAATTTTTGATGATCGATTTCATTATTCCACCCGTGGTACTTATGCATCACATGAGCATAGTAGCAGAGATGATATTAAGTAATGCGGTGCAAAAATGTAATAGTGAATAGCGATAAGGAAGTAAGACTTCTTAAGCGCACTTTAATAAAGAAGGCACATGTACAGTTTATGATATATTTTTTATTATATTTCTATTATTTTTATTTTTTTACTAAAGTTTATTGTATAACCGTCCTAAACTTTGGAGGCAACTATACATATATCACATGAAGCATAACTACTGGAGCGGATCTTTTGCCTTTAATCCTCGTCAAGCACGTGCTAAATCTAGAGAAAACATCGATTATTAATAACTATGTTTTTTGTCTATATATAATAAAACTATCCATACCTATATATCCTTGTCTCCGATCAGATATAGTGGAAGGAATCTGTATTTGTTTTGCTTTCGGTTTGGAAAGTTGCTCGTGATGGTTTAAACCTTGAGCATTATTAAGGTCCTGCTCAGAAACTATTGGCCCACTACCTTTTTCAATTCCAGCCTTTTTATAAACTTTAGTAAACTTCCGTAAATGGTGGAAAAATATGTTATGTACGAAATAAACGACACTATGCCGGATCCCCTTAGTGACTAAAAAATTGCCATGGAGTAATAAACGTGAGGCAAATGCTATGATTTGTCCTGGCTGAAGATGTATGACCATCTAGAGCTGGGGAAACATAACTCTCTCCCTTCGTAATCCCCAGTGCAACTAAGACACATAAACTATTTGCCTCGTCATACTCATCCCAATGATAGTTACTAGTGGTATTAAATTAATAGCTATCATTGGGAAAACTCCAAAGGGCTTCGGCACAAATGGACCCCATGACAGCCCACTCAATTTCATATATAAATCTCCATAATAGTCTTGGAGGAACCAGTTGACACAGTCTGATAATGCCTTGAGACCTTGAAGTAATTTGTTGATGCATTCATAGTGATCAATATTATACGTACTTGCAGTATTGGAGCTTGTAAAAGGGAGCAAGTTGTTTCTGGTATAAGCCCCGAAATATTCGATAAAATTGG